TTAAAAAAATGTTCAAAAATGAATTACTTATTAAATATACGGAATTTGTATACGGAATCTATAGAAACGTACATAAAATGTATACAAAACGTATCCTTTCCGTATACATATTTTTTATAGGGATATAGTTGGAGCTTACTTAAGAATCATAAACTTCGTAGCCACGCTCAATTAAGGCAATGTATTACTAGACCTACACTAAAGATGACTTTAGCAAGGCTTTCTTTGTGAATTAAAGAAATTTCATACACTTTGCCAGCTGGTGGGATAGCTTATGACCTTTAACCTCAAATCTGTTTATACTAATAAACCCAGAATGTTTGCACCACTAATAAAAAGTATAAGTATAGTTAAGACTTAAGGTACTTCAAAGAATCTCTAAAAAGAAAAAAAAATTAAATGAGCAATTAGTAAACATTCATTAAATTAAAATAAAAAAAAATAAAATACTTTCATTTTGTTTATAATCACATGGTATCAATTGAGATAACAGTTCACACTTCAGACTTGTACAGACAATCCCGGAAAAATTACAGCCATACAATCATCAATATATCAATTATCAACCAAATTTTACACGTCTAGATCCATCTAAAGAGCAAATATTCATCGGAAATCCAAAAATTTAAGCTTCTTACTCTAGTTCCTGTCTAATATCGTCAAAGATTAGCTTTAAATACTTTTTTTAAAAAAGAGATGAAATGATTTAAAAGAATAATAAAATATAATTGTTTCAATCTAAAAGTGTATAAGATATAATTGTAAAGAATATGTAAAATAAACATTTAAAATGTATAAAATATATAATATTATACAGAGCTCATAAAGAATAAAATGAGTTAATTAATTAAAGTATATGGTTTATTCTAATTTAATGAAAGTCTCAAGGCAACGTTATTAAGCTTCTTAATTAGACTTGATATTATATTTAGTATAACTGATAATGTATTCTCTGACGAATACATATCATTATTCATATTATTTATATTAGATATATATATGTGTGTATATATATGAGCACATATATAAATATTATTAAAAATATAAAAAAAAAAATTTTATTTCGGGAAAGCCTCCTATTTTATATAAAATTATTCGTCACATGAATCATGTGATACAATATTAATATAACCGCAGCCACAGCCGCAGTTATTTATTTAAACTAAAAACACCCCAGCCAAATGATCGACATAGTTTCTAAGCTAAGTGGGCGTGCACTACATCCTAGCTTATAAACTGCCCATGGGCCAGATTAGCCCACGATATCTGATTGGTCCAAACAACTTACCAACATTTAATTACAAATAAGGCAATTTTATAACTTTTGACCGGATATTTACTTATAAACTCATGGTCAAGGATTTCATTAATGTACATTTTGTACCACCTTGTAACTATAAAAAAGGCAAAAAAATTTTCAAGGTTACACATTAATTTGGCCAGAATTAAGATAATTTCGCCCAGCAAAATTTGGCCGGAATTATAAAACGGACATAAATGTCCGTTTGCAAATTTGGCCAGAATTATAAAAACGGACATAATTTGGCTGGAATTATAAAAACGGACATTAATGTCCGTTTTTGTAAATTTGGTCAGCATTATAAATGCAAATATTATAAATTGCATCAATTTATCATAATCCAGTAATCATAGAAAAAATAAATTATAACTTGTTAGCTTTGTCTCATCAAGACATGTTAAATTGTTAAATTGTGGTTTCTATCATCAATAGATGGAAAGTTATTGGCATTTGGAAATATTTAAGAATTCAAAAAAATTCTTTTCAAACAATGTAAATATCTTATTATTTATTAATCCTAAAGGTATAAAACTCCTACCATTTAATACATCTCAATACAATCCAACAAGCTGTGTATTATTTTTTTACAATTACTTTGATGACAAGTTAATGCAATTTAACTTTTAGCAATTTGGTATATTTTAACCAAAAAAAATTTTTTTTATTGTAAATTTAAGTTATTTAACATTTAAAAAATGATTTTTTGTTTTTATTTTTCACTATTAAATACAAATTATTTCAAAAATGCAGAAAATTAAATCTTTTAATTATTATTTAAAAATTATGCTATTAAATAAAACATTAATTTTTTTGTTTTTTATTTACTTTTTTACTATTAGATCTAAAAATTGTCAGAAATTTAAATCCTTCAATTATTAATACATTACATATTTATGGAAGTTAAATAAACATACTTATTTAATGTAATTTAGCAATTAACATTGATTAATTTTGATTTTATTAATTTTTTTTTATTTGATGATTTTGATCTAAATTATTTCAAAAATTAATAGAAAATTAAATGATTTGGCTCTTTTAATTATTAATACATTACATATTTATGGAAGTTAAATAAATATACTTATTTATTAATCTATTTAATGTAATTTAGCAATTAACATTTTATTTTAATTTTATTTATTTTTTTATTGATCCAAATTATTTAAAA